CACACACACACACACTCACACTCACACTCTCTCTCTCTCACACACACTCACACTCACACTCACACACACACTCACACTCACACTCAAACACACACACACACACACACACATTCTCTCTCTATCTCTCACTCACTCACACACACACACACACACACACACGCTCTCTCTCTCACTCACTCACTCACTCACTCACACACACACACTTGCGTACACCAGTTACTAATTGCACTGTTTCAGTGTATTTCTGTTGTTTCTTTTTTATACATTTTAAATCCATTTTTATTTCTGATGCACCTTTTATGACTATTTTTTATCATTTTTATGTAAAAAACTTTAAATCACATTTGTGTATGAAAGATTTAGTAACACTTAAAGCCACGTGAAGCCTTTATAATGCATTATAAAGATAATCATAAATTCTAACAAGTTAAAATGCATTATAATATTTCCAGATTCCTTGTTACATCTTAAATTGATTGTTTGTTGTGTTTTAATGCATTACACTTATATTGCAATACACAGTTATTCATGAGATCATACAGTGCATTTATTACAAGGCATAATTAACACATTAAAATACCGATGTAATGCATTATACAGTATATAAAGTTATTAATCAACCCGTTCGTTTCTCTCCTGCATCTGCTGGGTTTGTGTGTTTCAGGCTGTCGGTCATTGATTCCTGTCTGGATCTGGTGAAGAGATGCACGTCGCTCTATAAAGACCTGCCGTCATTCGCTCACATCTTCCAGCCAATCAGAACGCTGCTTCTCAAGCATCTTCCTGTCGAGGGTTACCCCGCCCCTATCCAGGTTCAGCATCTACATACAGCACACGTCACATTCACTCTCATCGGCTCGTTTGATTCATTCTGATGTGCTTTCGTGCAGGATCTTCACAGAGAGATCTTAGAGGCCATTCCTGAGCAGCCTTCCCAGCATGCACCTCTGGTGTTCAAGAAGAAGAAACCCATCCCGCTGAAGCTCTTCACACCGAAAATAGTGCAGATGTGAGTGAAACATGAACTAGAATCATTTCATTCTGACACAGCTCTGTCCTAGACAAATACAGCACTATATATGTGTCCCTGTAGCGCAAAAGCAGGAACACGACGGAGGAGAAGGAGCGCGAGCGGCTCCAGCACAAATACAAGCGTGAGTTTAAGGGAGCACCGAGGGAGATGCGGAAGGACACGCGCTTCCTGGCTCGGGAGAAGCTCAGCGACGTCATGAGCAGGTCAGTGTGTGTGAGGAGGAGCGTCATGTGACCGTGCTTCATCCTCAGGCTCTGATCGTGTTGTGTTTGTGTGTCAGGGATGCGGAGAGGAAGAGGAAGGTGAAGGAGCTGTATGGAAGTCTGGCCACTCAGGAGGGAGAGTGGAGAGGAAGAACAGGAAGTGAAGAAGCATTCGAAGCCATTTTTTCTGTCACAAACTGCTTTAGTACTCTGGAAAACTTTATTCTCATGATAGGGTTTTTTATCTGACAAATCAAGAGAAATAAAAGGATGCTGTGCAGTGAGACTCTCTTCATGTGATATAATCCAGCGTTTCACTGCCAAAAATAATTTTCATCATCTGAAAGCTGAATAAATAATCTTTCCATTGATGTATGGTTTGTTAGGATCGGACAATATTTGAAAATCTGGAATCTGAGGGTGCAAAAAAATCTAAATATTGAGAAAATCATCTTTAAAGTTGTTCAAATGAAGTTCTTAGCAATGCATATTACTAATCAAACATTAAGTTTTGATATATTTACGGTAGGACATTTACAAAATATCTTCATGGAACATGATCTTTACTTAATATCCTAATGATTTTTGGCATAAAAGAGAAATGTATAATTGTGACCCATACAATGTATTGTTGGCTATTGCTACAAATATGTTTCTGACCTCGCTGTTTAAAGCTTATTTTTGATATATTTTTCAGAAAACTAGACTCAATATCTCCTCATTCTGCCTCTCAAATATCTTGATTTATAAAAGTTTAGAAACCTGTACTGGATGACAACAACAACAAAAAACTGAAAAAGAAATCAATTACATGTTGATTCAATAGAGTTTAATAACCGTGGCTGTTCATCAATTATAAAATAAGTTCAGCTGTAAATCAGCTCTACAGAACACAATAGTATTATTATTCAGCTCATTTCTGTTCTCATCCAACTGAATAATGGTAAGGAACCAACTAATGCAGAAACTCCAGGAATAAAGTATTAGTTTGTCCATCTTTCAGCCTATAGACAGCAGGTCAGAATAACTGAGGCTTTATAAGAAAGTATACAGCAGAGACAAGTGTGCATTGAAATCAAGCTTTATTTAGTGCCTGGGAACATTTTGAGACCATTTTATTCATTGTGATTCTCAGAAGGCCCAGTGAACTCGGCTAGTTTAGCAGGACATGGTTTAGTCGAGGTTGATCTTCAGGCCATAGCCGTGTGTGTCTCTACAGTACGAGACACAGACGTGGTTCTCTCTTCTGTCACTGCTTAGGAAAACAAGACATAACACACATCAGATTTAAGCAAAACTAATCCTTTTCTAAGGCTGGGATGCTCTACATGACTTCAGACTCCATGCATGGTCTGGACGAGTCAACGTTAGTTGAATTTGAGTTATCTTTTAGCGTCAGACTTTGATTGCATCCAGTCGGTGGAGATCAAAGATGTTTGATATTTTGAACCGATTTTAGAACACATTGTTTCCATTTGTCATGTGTCTCCTAGCAACGAGGTTTGGCGCAATGAAATCCTGGGTGGGAATTTCGTATTTGCAACTTGGGAAGTCGTAAATACGACATCAGATCAGTTCAAATCGCAACATCAAATGTACCTTTTCTACAAAAAACATAATAATCCGCATTTTTTCCCACTCTGCTTCTACGAAATGATGATTAAACACTGCGAATGTGTTTTTGCTTTATGCTTTTATTCAGTTAAGAAACATATCTTGTCATCTTTTGTGCATGCAACTTAGCTACTTTTATTGTAAATGGGAATTTTTAAAAATTTTATTCCAAGAAATGTACCCTAAATACTGCATCCATTGCATCCGCCCACAACTTGGAAACTCTGGGCTTACAGAAAGTTAAGTTTCCCACTCTGAATTATGACTTTGTGGTGAAATTCATGTACGTTGAACTCGTAAATACTATCTTTCCGAACGTACCATTTGTTATGAAAGTATGGTAGTGTGATTCTCAGTTGCTTAGTGCAATGGTTCCCAATCCT